TAATAAAGACTAAGATTTAGGTTCTTATGTCTACACCTTAATCTAAATTATTACAATTATAAATCTTTTCATTTTATGAGACTGGTAAATTCCATTTTTATAAACTGAAAAATCAATTGTATTTGAAAAATTAAAATAGAAATTGTAATTTCCCACCCCCCCCCACCCCCATACACACCCCCACATTTACAAAACATAGTCGGCAAGAGTTGGGATAGGATTTGAGAATGCTTATGGTCTTACTGTTGGATAGACCTGTCTACTGGAAGCTGCAAAGTAAATAAAATAAGGTCAAAAAGCAAATAACTCCACAATGCTCCCTTCTGAATGTAGGAGGGGAGTTAATTTTTAAAACCTGCTTCTCTCCTAAATTTTTTTTCCAAATGAAAGCCCAGGTCTTCAGTCACACCAGTGCAGCCGTTTACAGTGCTGAAGTGACATGGCTAAGGGTATCAGAGGACCTGCACCCAACTCAGTTTCTCCCACCCCTCTCCTCAAACTCAGTTCATGGGAGGGTCACTCAACACAGGTGGCTCCAAGTGATACGTTCCTCTGGTTACTGCCCTAAGCATATGTGAAGTCTACAATAAAGTGTGCACTTAATAATTAACAGAAGGTTCTGTAACAAAAAAACGGTTGACCAGTCTGGCCAATAGTGAAACCCCGTCTCTACTAAAAATACAAAAATTAGCCGGGCGTGGCGTGCGGGTGTAATCCCAGCTACTCGGGAAGCTGAGGCAGGAGAATCGCTTGAATTCGGGAGGCGCAGGTTGCAGTGAGTCGAGATCACGCCACTGCACTCCTGCCTGGGTGACAGAGCGAGACTCCGTCTCAAAACAAAAACAAAACAAAACGGTTAACATTATTCTAACTAAGTTATAAAGCCACTAGCATATATGCCATTCCGTCTTTCTTGCAATAACCTGCCAATGCTCTCCTCTCTGACCTGTAGAGAATGGGGTGGGAACAGACCAATGAGCTGGAGGTCTTCTGAACAGGCAGGAGCTGGAGGGCTGGAGCCCTCACAGGCAGGAGCCCCTTGTGGAATGGAGAAAATGAAAATTTCTAGGATTGTTAAAGATGTCCGTCAAAAGATTTGAAGGTGGCTGTTTGTCTCATTACAGAGCCCAAAGCTAACACACATCATCACATTATCATACCAGACACTTTAAAATGTACATCATACAAAATATTGTACAAAACCATTTTAACTGATGGGAAATTATTTCACACCTGAAACTTACCGGTGGCTAGATTTGAAACTATGGATCACATCTGTTACTGTTACTCACTGCACTAAAACTGCGTTCATTTTTAAGTAACAGAAAGTTATATTAGGATTGTACATCAAAATATTGAAAAAGACTGTCTCATAAATCTATATCATTTTGTAATTCTGAACTTGAGGAAGATTAAAAATAATATCCATGTAAATGTATAGTATGTATTCTATAGAAAGCTCCAGTAGATTAAAGTGAGTTTTCCCAATTTCACAATATTTTTTAAAGTGATGCAAAGTAGACTTTTTATGCCAAATAAAAAAGTGGATTACCATGTAGGCCAAACAATCAACTCAATTTTCAGGAATCAAATTACTGCTTAGATTAGCTATTTTACGTCCAAATCAATTATACTGACACCTGGATTGACACTTGGATTTTTTTTGAGGTGGAGTCTTGCTCTGTCACCCAGGCTGGAGTGCAGTGGCGTGATATCGGCTCACTGCAACCTCCACCTCCCGGGTTAAGCAATTCTCCTGTCTCAGCCTGAGTAGCTGGGACCACAGGCACACACCGCCACACCCAGCTAATTTTTGTATTTTCAGTGGAGACGGGGTTTTGCCGCAGTGGTCAGACTGTTCTCAACCTCCTGACCTCAGGTGATCCACCCGCCTTGGCCTCCCCAAAGTGCTGTGATTACAGGTGTGAGCCACAGTACCTGGCTTAAGTTTTTTTCTAAAGCATGTACTCTACATGATCTAGTTGTTTTATGACAATGCTTTTTAAGTTGCTGACATAAACCCAAAGATTGAAAACATGTACATATTACAAATTAAAAGAAAACCAATATGCATTTCAAGAATAACCTCAAAAAGAACTTCTGAAAAAGAGGCACTGCAATCTACATGAGAAATGTTTTTCTGCTCAAAGGAAAGCATACAATATAACTTTCAAACTCCTGAAATTCTATGTTAGTTGTTTCAAAGTGTGGTCTATAGAACACTTGGTGCTTGCAGCTTTGCTATTGCACTAAAGAAGATGTCAATGAATGTGGGAAATTGTTGCTTCTACAAAATAAACAGTCCTTTTATGCAGGACCTCTCAGAGTTTACTGTGTTAATGTTAATGTTAATTTCTAAAAGAATGACAGAATATGCAGCATTATATCCCAAATCAATTTAAGACAAAGATTTGGAGGAATCTGCTTTTTGAATTGCCACATGAATACTAGGTAACTAAACTAAACTTCCCAGAGAATGATATTTGATTTCCAGTGAGTGGAAAACTTACCAGCTGTTTCTATTTTAGGAAAAATAAAAAACACATTATACAGTATTCACAATGAACTAGTAAATCTTCTGTCATAAAATTTAGTCCTTAGATTAACTGATCATATTTCATCAAAACTTGTATTTCAGCTTGCTTGAACATACTTTAATCTAGTTACCTTATTGTATCAGCTTGTCTGACATTTAATTAACTATGCATAATTAAAGAATAAAAACCACATTTTTGTGCAGGGAAATCATATAGAAATCACCATTCATTCCGGCCAGCATCACAGTTGCAGTAATACTGAGAATCAATGCAGTTCCCCTCTAATCCACAAGTACACTTTTGAGCATCAGGCAGAGAACCTCCCCAGTAAGTGTGTGTTTCATTGGTTCTTCCAACCCACCAGCTCAGTGGGGTTCCATCTGAAAGACAAGCATGAGAAAGATGACATCTACTTTGTCCCTCACTACCACCCTCCCCATGTAACTCCCTTTACTCCCAGGTGTAAAGTATGTGTGTGTGAGAGACAGAGAGAAGATGAGACTATACTTAAAAACTTACATTTTACCTCTGAAACAAAGATGTTTCTTTAAGCATGCTAACCAATGGTTCCCCCCCCCAATATTTCAATATCCAGGCTTAAATGATTCCCATCTATTTTTCTTCTATTAGAAATCAGTCAGTTGTATGTGATGTATACTTTCTATAGAAATAACATTCAAAAAACATTCACCATTAAAATAAATATCAGAGTAATTTGCACACTAAAGATAAGATGTATTTGAAATTATGAAATGTTCATTGAGAAAGTTTAATATTATACAAAGACACTGATTTATCTCATCCCATCTTTTTTGCTACCTGTATATTACACATTTGGAAAGATGTGGTACTCTCTTTCAGGACTTACGAATTTTTACAGGTATTTGTTTTTTTTGCATTGGATGTCCTGACTCTATTTGGAAGTTAAGGAATGACATTGATAGGCTTTTCTCATCTCTGAGGTTAGAGGTTTCTTATGCAAAGAAACAAAGTGCCCTGGGTCAACTACAGCTCTGACGAGTACACCTCCTCCTCAGCACTGACAAGGATTAAATGATAGAGCCAGACACTAACTTAGATCTACGGAACTGCATGTTAGGACAAGGGATGCTGCCAGGGGTTGCGCAGGGTTGGGGGAAGATTGGGGTGATGGACTGCATATCACAGTAAAGTTAGGATAATTTAAAAAGCAGGTGTCAGGCCACCTATCTTAAAAAAGGAAGGGGGTCAGGAGCCACATGTTGCAGTCATCACAAATTAGGGCATGAGGAAAATGAAACTGGATAAACTCAACCAGTTTTTTAAACATGCTTGGTCATTTGGTGCTGTTTTTCAAATTTCAATAGGTTGTTACCATTGGAATATGAATTGAGATCTGGAACTTAGCTTCCACCTTACTGCTTATTACAACTCAATTATAACTCATTCATAGATAAGATCTCTGCATTCATGACCACCACCGCTATCCACCACCTGCCCCTCTGCCAAAAAAAAAAAAAAAAAAGCAATCTGGGAAAATTTAAAGGGGAATTAGTATCAGGAATCTTTTTAAAATATGCTAACAGCTTATCACTACAAAGTAACAGATATTTCAAAAATTAATATACTCTTCTTAGAATGCCACTTTAAAAATTATCAACTTCACCATTAAACTCTCGCGGATTAAAGAGCAAAACACTCATTCTATCCTAATGTACAAATGTAAATTTACATCTAAATCTCCCATATTTCCCATAAAGTGGTAAAAATATATTTTTTAGAAACAGTAACAAAAAGACGTAAGGGGGGAACTTCTAGACTGATAAAAGATCTTGTAGACTTGTCTATCCCTGCTATTTCCACCAAGGATAATGATACATTCTGGAAATAATACAGAAGACACCCGAAGAGGATTCTGAAAGGTAGACAGAGGAAGGTTAGGACCCCGGGACTGGAAAATACAATAACATAACTTTAAAAAAATGCTGAATCGGCTCAAGAATAGAGTGAAAACACAGAGGACAGAATCACTGAACTTTAGGACCCATCAATAGGCTTTATCTACCCTGACCAAAAAAGAGAAAACAGACTGAATATAAAAAGAACTGAGCCATAGGGTTCTATCAGACAATACCAGAATCTCAAAAAGAGAGAAGAAAGTGTGCTGAAAGAGTACCAAAAAAATACTGGCTATAAACTTCCCACGTAAGGTAAAACATATTAACCCACAGATTTAAGAAGCTATGTAAGTCCAAAAAAGGTTAGACCCAAAAATATCCACGCCAAGATCTATCATAATTGAACTTATTGGAAACAAAACAAAAAAATCTTGAAAGCAGCCTGAGAGAAGAACACATTACCTGTAAAAAGAACCCTAATTTGAATGATAGTAGATTACTCATCTGAAATTATAGAACCAGAAGGAATGGCATAATTTTTTCAGGGCTGATAGAAAAAAATTGTCAACTATAAATTCTATATCCAGAGAAACTATCCTTCAAGAATAAAATGGAAATAAAACCTTTTTAACACAAAAGAAAACTAAAATAATTTGTCGCTAGCAGACATTCCCTAAAGAATGGCTAAAGGAGGTTTTTCAAAAGGAAAAGAAATTATAACGAAGGATTCTTGGAACATCAGGAGAAAAATGAAAAGAGAAGAAATATGGGTAAATATAATAGACTATCCTTATCATTAATTTTTGAAATGACATATGATAATTGACACAAAAATTGTAATACCATATGATACTCAAGACAATGATATATAGAAGTGGGGAAGATAAAGGACCTAAATAGAAATAAGGATTCCATATTTCATTATATGAGTGAAAATATTTAAGTTGACTGTGATAAGTCACATATGTACACTATAATATCAAGCAATCAGTAAGAAGATTATAAAAATTAAATGTAAATGGTTAAAATATAACAAAAGTTAGACACTGGCAGAGTGAACTGAAAAAAAATAACACAACTAGAGATTTATAAGAAACTCACTTCCAAATAAACATAGGTAGCTTAAAAGCAAAAGGATGGAAAAAATACTCTGCAAAATTAACTTTGAGAGAAAGCAGAATAGTTACCTCATAAAACAAACTTCAGATCAAAAATACTAGAAGCAAACAGGGACATTACATAATGATTTGTTTTTAAAAAAACAGTCACCAGGAAGACATAAATGCATATGCAAGAAACAATCGACCCTTAAAAAATGAAGCAAAAATCGAGACTTCCGGGTTTCCAATCTGACATGACGCTAAGTGTCTGGAAGTCATCACTCCCATTCTCACAACAAGAGAAAAGCTGAACTAACTAAAAATAAACAATTCTTCTTAGATCCATTAGAGAGTTAAAGTCATAGGGCAAACATTACTCCTAAAGCTGCAGAGACAAGTGAAAACAGGATCACAGCTAATGGAGCCAAAGCAGATGGTGGAGTCTGGTAAAAGCACTTACAATGTAATGGAGCAATTGGTGGATACCGAGCAAGGACAAGCTACAGAGATTAAAAACTCCTAGAGTGGGGGATGAGCCTCAGAGGGTCAACACACCTTCATGAGTTTTATCTCCAGAAAGAGCCCCATCAAGTTCTCAGAATAAAGATAGGAGAAGAATGCTCTTATGTCTCCAGCAGGAGGAGGGAAGGAGTAAACATTTTTGAAATAAGCGCAGAACATTATGTTCTCCTTAACAACATTCTAACCGCCCAAAAAACTAGTTTACTAGAGCCTAAACCACCTAGGGGAATGGAAATACCCAGCACCAGCCCCCTCTACCCTTCTTTTCTCACCCAAGCGAAGGGGAAGGAAGCTGAGAAGCACTCGGAAGGTCACAGTCCAGGAAGACAGGTTCTCTAAAAGACTGACATAATCATAAGAGTATAGGATGCTTTGGCCGGGCATGGTGGCTCATGCCTGTAATCCCAGCACTTTGGGAGGCCGAGGCGGGTGGATCATGAGGTCAGGAGATTGAGACCATCCTGGTTAACATGGTGAAACCCCATCTCTACTAAAAATAACAAAAAATTAGCCGGGCGTGGTGGCGGCGCCTGTAGTCCCAGCTATTCAGGAGGCTGAGGCAGGAGAATGGTATGAACCCGGGAGGCAGAGCTTGTAGTGAGACGAGATCGTGCCACTGCACTCCAGCCTGGGTGACAGAGAGAGACCCCGTCTCAAAAAAAAATAAAATAAAATAAAAAAAGAATATAGGATGCTTCTCCTCTCCTCACACCTTACCATCACATCAGTAAGTTACCTGTATAGTAACAGGAGACTAAAAATGAAACAGCTGTCAATTTTAGACCCTATTTAAGACAGAGTCTCTAGGGAAACTCAAATAAAACGGAAGAAAGAAAAATAAAAGAATCTTAGTGGAAAATTTAGCCTGTGACACCACAGTTATACATAGAGCAAACACAGCCTAACTACTAACCAGATAAACATAAAACCTTACTTTAAAGGCCTCCTTACCTCAGTTCCTCTGCCAATACAACATGTCTGGCTTTCAACAGAAAATTGCAAGGTATGCTAAAGCCAAACAATACAATCTTATGAGACAAATCAAGCAAACACGCAGATATAACAGATTTGGAAATATCGGATAAGGAATTTGAAATAATAATATGCTAAGGGCTCTATGTTGAAAAAGTGGGGGCAACATGCAAGAACAGATAGGTATTATAAACAAAGATATGAAATCTCTCAGAAAGACTGGGAAGACTGGGAAGTGGGAGGAAAGAATCAGTGAGTTTGAAGAGATGGCAATAAAAATTTTCCATTAAACACAAAGAGAAAAAGAATGAAAAATGAAACTTAATATCCAAAACCCATTGGACAATTTTTTTTTTTTTTTGAGACAGAGTCTCGCGTCTCGCTCTGTCGCCTGGGCCAGAGTGCAGTGGCCGGATCTCGGCTCACTGCAAGCTCTGCCCCCCGGGTTCACGCCATTCTCCTGCCTCAGCCTCCCGAGTAGCTGGGACTACAGGCGCCCGCCACCACACCCGGCTAATTTTTTGTATTTTTACAAAAAATACAGAGATGGGTTTTCACCATGTTAGCTAGGATGGTATCGATCCCCTGACCTCATGATCCGCCCGCCTTGGCCTCCCAAAGTGCTGGGATTATAGGCGTGAGCCACCGTGCCCAGACCTGTTGGACAATTTCAAATGGTATAACCCATGTAACCCATAATGGAAATACCAGAAATAGAAGGGAGAGAGTGAGAACCAGAATATTTAAAATAATGACAGTTGAGAATGTTTTAAAATTAATGACAGACACGAAACCATAGGTTCAGGAATCTCAGCAAACACCAAGCAGGTTACCTAGGCATCTCATATTCACAATGCAAAAAATCAAAGACTTTCTTAAAATTAAAATAAAATCTTTTAAAAATAAACT